AGGCAGAGATATGAAAGTTTAATTAGTACTTGGGAAATGTGCAAAGTAACACCCCTGCAGGACATCGCTGGGCCGAAGACGAAGCCTTCCGAGCTCGACGGTGCAAATAAGGATCCACAGTACTGTTTGATGTCCGTCGGATCGATTGCCTGGGGTTGGGATTGGGGTCGGTTTCTGTTTCAATGCACATGGATCCTTGTCATAGCCCACCTTATTGCAGACACCGTCCTTGGTGGTTTGGGGCTCAAGGTACACTTTCCTATGAAGTTTCAAACACTCTCCACCGAAGACCAATCTTTCCGATCCGTGCAAAAAACCCTGCAGAGGGTGCTTCCCAGAAGCCAGCCTAAGGTGGCCTGAAGGACGAGGGGGCTCAACCCTGAAACAAACCCCAGACCACAACTACTTAAACCCAATGTGGTAGAAACCTTAAACTTGAAACAAAACAATCCCAGACCATAGCTCCCTAAGGCCCAATACCCTAGAACCCGTTAAACCTGAAGCCTTTTAAGGCTAGGCTTCGAGGTGGTCTTGTTGAGTCTTCTCTATTGATTGGACAGGACAACAACACACCCTCGGTACGAGCGATCAGGAAGTACGCCGAGATGCACAACCTCGACTTCACGAAAGTGACGGAGGAGCAAGTTGCAAAAAACCCACAGGGCTTGGAGCACTTTGCCTGCTTGGACCTGGACTTGGGTGCGAGAGGAGCAACAGGTCAAGCGATATCGCGAGGGCAGGAAAAGGCCGAAGAAAGGACGAAGCCACTGACAAGATAAATGGCGTAAGATGGAGTCATCACGCCTTTATCACGCAGCTTCAAGAGCTAAAGTGCAAGGGAGGCGGGCCAGAGACGTTGTCACTTCACCCAGATTCTGTTTAACAAATAGCACGCCAACAAAGCCGATACACTGTATGAATTTCAAGCCATGCAGGGAAGATGTCGAACCGTGAAACTCGTAAGGAATCCCAATCCTCTGCACACTGTTAGCTTTCAGACACGGACAAATGCTCATCAGGGTTGATGGTTTATGGTTTATAAGGCTTGCTGGAAGCTGTCAGGGAGATGTTAGGGGGGGGCTCGGGGGAGGGGGGGGAGCCTGAGTGGCCTCAGTTAGGTGGAGATGCCTGCTTGGAGCATGTCGAGGGTTCTTGTTGGGCCGGTGTTCAAGCCCCCGCGACATAGAGGCTGTCGAGATCCAAATGCTTAGCGAGTACTTAGTGAGCGCTTAGCGAGGGCTTAGTAAGCTCGAAGCTTCTGCAGTGAACGCCATTAAGGCACGCAGCAAACTCGCGTGCACCGGTTATAAAGGCATCAAGAGGCTTACAAAGCACTCGCTAAGTTCCGAGCTCTTACAAGGCACTTGCTAAGCACTTGCTGAGCCTACTCGGGCTCCCCCTCCCCCCGAGCCTCCCCCGCCTAACGTCTCCATGAAACTGTGCTTTCGGCCATGCAATTCTTTTTGTTCTGCTTCTGGGCAGCAAAACAACAATCTGACAAAGTTGATGTTCTCTAAAGAAGCTGGACACTTTAAACAACAGCTCCTACCAGGAACCTCGTGAGGAAGAATATGAAACAGTAACACAAATTTCTATTCATTGGCTCAAAGCAGATGCGAGTCGCATAACTTTCAGCTACTTGGTCCCTGTACAACAAACATTGTATACATTTTAAGGCCTCAGGCTCAACTTTTTCGCTTACACATACCCGTCCTTCGTTACTTTGCAGAGACTCCTGCGCAAAAGGACCCGCAGCTGCACTGTCAAAAGTCAGCCTTGGCCTTTAAAAGTTTTCTTTACGGCAAGCTGACAGCTACCCACGACATGTTGCACAACATTTGACAAAACCTGCAAAACCAATTTTGAGCCTTCAGGAACCAGAGAGGAAAGCTCCATGTCTTCGTGCATTCATACGCAATTCAAGTCACGAAACTTTGAACTGAGGGACTTGGCAACACAAGGAACGAAAGCAAGCTAAGCCGAAGTGTTTCAATGTCGTTTAGAAGAACATGTTCCAAATAAAGGCCTCCAAAGGTGCATAGCCATGCAAGGAAAACTTGCTCAACGTGATTGCTGTGCCCTAAACAGCTGCAGACCTGCGCCGTAACACCGCTGCAACAGTCGGAAGCAAACTCTGTGTCTCATGTTCACTCATTCACTTGCAGAAACGGCTTAGGGTTCGGGGTTTAATTAGGGTTTAACTTTGTTGGTCAACATGACTGCTAAACAGCTGCAAACGCTACACAACTGCAGAAGTTGGAAGCAAACTCTGTGTCTTCTGCTCACTCACTCACTTGCAGAAAGCTTTGTCTTTTATGCACCTGCACAGTCCTCACAAATTTCCCAATCGCACTGCTTGTATCTGTACATGCCATTCGAGGACATGGCATCACAAACATCAGGGGTAATTTGGTATTAAGCAAGCTCCCATTGGTTCAGGACCACCTGTGCCGGAGGGTCTTCAAAATTTTGCCAGGGCAGTGTTTCGTGTGTGCCGTTGTGCTTGGTCTCTTGCACAAGGTAGGATCGGACAAGTTGTTGACAATTGCCGATGTCGAAGCATGCTCGGCATAGCATCACCTTGACTTCGCGGACCTCGCAGCTTATTCGGTTGATATGGCTGCACAAGTTTATTGCCGGAGACATTTACAGTCATCGTACTCTATTGTGGAATGGTTTGAGCGGGGTGGTCAACAAGGAAACCTTTCCCGGAATCATTTGAGGGGCAAACTCTGCGTTTTCGGTCAATAAAGTTTCAGACCCGACCGTTTGTGTTTCCTGTTCAGATTAACCGGAGCGACGCTGATCCATAAGAAGCACATATTATCTACAGGCCTCCCTGTTGTTGGAACGCACCCCTATTCAGGCTCTCGTGTTAAGTAGCATTTTTTGAAGGAACAATTTCTTCTGTGAGCATGCATTTGCGGCTACTGCTATGTACAATATGTACAAATCTGTCTACAATGTGGCAGGTCGCGAACGATTCAATCAACGTTTGCTCTCACAGCCTAGCGGCGGCTTTTTGTCAAACTTTGACATGAAGCCGGTGCACGGTGCATTCCGAAATGATGTAGACTCCATTGAAGATGTTGGCAGCGCGGACGACACGACCAGTGGCACCACATCCTAAGAGTTCCTTCGCATTCAGTTTGATTTTGGCCCGAGCCCACAGGGATCGAGCATCTGATATTTCTCGGTTGCATCCTTGGTCGAAATCGCTGTCATGTTGTTCTTGTCTGGTGATTGCCTGTGTCAGGTAACTCTGCCGCAAAGGACGAGCGATGACTCGATTTGCGAGTGTCCTTGCCACTTTCCGAGTGCATGTGCTAGCTTACAGTTGAGTGGTGAGCTGAGTAGCTCCAGACTGAAGGCTTTTGTACCATGGCTTCTTCCACGAGAAGCCTGGGCTTACATTCCATCCTACGGCAACACCAGCTGTCTGCTGTGGCAGGCCATGCGCTTCTTGTGAGGCAGCATAACATCCGCGTAATTTTTTCTAGCCCGCAGGGAGATGGATGCGAAAACATTCGAGAAGAGACACTGTGCGCTGGAGCCTTTGTACTGGTGTGTGCGAGCCGCAAAGGATGGTTGTGTTCCGTTTGAACTGAAAGTGTCCTCAGGTAAACAGTCGTGACGGCATGGCCCACGACTTGTTCGGCAACGTCAGATTAGGCCTGCACTTAAATATACAGTAGTGGTCATGACTCGACCATACTCATACTCGAAGATGGTGCTGGCATTTTTGTGCACGCAGGCAAGCCTTGTGCTTGGCACAAGGCAGGCGTGTGCGCGTGGCTGGCCGAGCGGTTTGCGGAAGGTGTGAACTTCAGCAACCGAAATGCAGCAACCAAAGAAATCCCGAGGCGCGTCGACGATTGGACTCGCCAGCAAGAAAGTCCAAGTCGCTAGCCCAGTTCTGTCGTTTTGTCAGTGGCTGTAGATTCGAGCACATCTGCGAGAGGTGATTTCACGGTGGCCAAATGCAAGGCCCAACTGAATGCGGGATTCTGTGTCAAACAGTGGAATCTGCCCCACTAGCCGTGAACATGCAGGAGGGAGCCAGTATTGACGACACGATTGCTGTGGTGAAGCCTCCTGCGGCTTCCCAGGGCCAATTCAGCTCGGACACCAGGGCACGCTGCCCGGAGACATGCAAGCATGACATAGCCGTCCAAAGCATTTTGTTAAGCCGCAAGCTTTTGTGGTTTTCTGCACAGGCCCACATGCCGTGGAGCAAGGCTGACCTGATGCCGATGGATGGTGGTTCAGATCGAGCTTGCCGTGGAGTGATGCAGACCCAAACAGGGTTGACCCGGCGTGTGATGTCCATGCACGCGCTCTGCCAATGTCGAACGTCGCCAGGCATGTTGCGCGGCTGTACAACATTTGGACTGCTTGCTGTGGTTCTTTTGGGGTGGGTCTGACATAATCGAAGGTAGATCCCTTGAGTCTCTTGCCTGCACATGTGCCGTTCTGAAGCTATGTATGAAATGCAGGACTGCATCGAACATTAATGACTGCAAGGTGCCAATAGCGCGGTGTCCACTTTTTGTCCCGCCGTGTTCGAGACGTTTCGTCCAGGCTCTTTGCACCGGTTCCTGCAAAGGGGTCGAGTTTCAAGCGGAAAACCAGTACTGCGAGGCAGGCTTTTCCTCCGGATGTGTTTGATTTACGGGAGTTTCCTGTCGTGATGATTGATGGCAAGGTTTGGTACGGAGATGTTCTATTCTCGACAGAGAATCCGGGTTTTGAATGTCGTGCGCTCAGGCTTTTGTGAGTTAACCAGGACGCGTTGTGAGAAGCGTTTTTTGGACCGAGGCTATGTTCGTAAGGATCAGGCCGGTACCGTCAACAAAGTTGTGCACTGGGACATGACCGGGCCTGGCGTCCAGGACCAAGCCGCCAAGTTGGCGCTGGTCAAGCCAAAGGACAGAGGGAGTTCTCCATGTGTTTTGTGCCCAGAGTTCCGAGAGGATTGCATGGTGCGAGAGCCGAGGACCAAAGCTGCCTTCGCGCGGAGCCCGAAGGCTGCGCTGCCTTGAAGGACTGAAACGAGGCGCAGGCAAGATAACATTCCAGGGAGACCTTATGTGGCAGGATCGTTTCAGCTGTCTCAGCAGCAAAGATGGCAGCGGGAAAGAGGACGTCTATGGTCTGCAGGCGACCAATCTCCTGCAGTTGGCCTGCCTTCTTCGAGCGTGCGTTGCCAGAGGTGCACGATGAGCCGTGTGTCTGGTGTGGCGGCGGGCTGTGCCACACTGGCGGCTTGTCCATGTGCGAGCCCTTTGACTACTTGCTTCGCGGGGCGGGCAAGGACGCCGCAGCGTTTGTTGAGCATGCTGCAACAGACAACAAGCCAGGGACAGTGTGGGTGTTACTGCGCACTACGCGCTTTGCATTTTCAGCTTCACCGATGTGCGCCTGTCATAGGATCATGCCTTCGGAAGCTTCACGGCATCCGGCATCTTCGAAACCCCGTCGTGCGAGGACATGGGTGAGCGTGAGTCTTGTTCTGAATCATAGGAGCCAAACTAGCCTAACTCGCCTTTCTGCTGTAGGAAGGGCAGGCCTCTGTCTTTGCCCAGAGCGACACATGGTGGCAGCCAGACCGGCCACTCGAGGCTGGCAGCCGCGCTGACACATTGCTGTCCCACTGTCCGTTCGCTTGAAGGCAGAGATCCAAGAGCTGGCGCCGGTGACGGGAGGCTGTCAGTCTGTCCAGGAGCGTGGAGCTACTTGTGGAAGGCAGGCTTCAAGTGTCGAACGGTCCCACCAGGACATGGCGACATGCCTGAGCAGCAAAGACGCAAGCCCCAATGCCACTTGGGGATACACTCCGTACAAGGTGCTCTGAAGATACCACGGGCGACCAGCACTTTTTGGGTGTTTCGATGGGAAACCCGCAACGTGGTGAGGTGCAAGGCGAAGCCTGCGTTTGGTGTGGCGGAGTGTGGCTGGCTCAAGACACAGTGCCAGGATTGGCCAGGTGAGGTTGTTCCTCGACTCAGGCCCTGTACGGATGCCAGCGCATCGCTGTGCATGCCCTTCGATCTTGTCATGAACGGACAGGGCCCTGCTCTGCACTTGGAGCAGCCTCCAGCATGTCGTACTGCTACCATGCCACTGTGCCGCTGCTCAGCACCACGACACCTTCTACGCAAAGCATCGGGCCTTAGACGGGGAGTGTTCCTTTCCTTGTCAGCTCGGCAAAGCCTGCCACCCAGGCACTCGTTTAAGGTGGCTGCGATCAAGGAGTGAGGGGCACTCCGTGGGAAAATTCGTGAGATTCGGGCCTTGTTGGCAGTCTGATCGTTCGACAGGAGTCTCAGGTTGTTGTGGGTGCCGACGTGGCGGGTGCCTCAGACTTCAGCCCCGGTGTTTATTGCAGCTCTCACGTGTGCAAGAGGGCAGTCCTGCCTCATCTGCATTGAGTCTTAACATTAAGTGTCAGAGAGTCGTGTTGAGGATGTGCAGTGCCTTTCACCGGACAACGATGGATGCAATACGCCTCAGCCACAGTCATTCTTGCAAGAGAGGTGCGGAGTAGATTGGATGCCCGCTTGCCCACTCTGATCTAAAGTCACGGAGCACTCCCTCTAGCTGACTTTTTGCAGAAGCATCTGTGCCAACACACGAGATGCTTCTCAAAGCTACGTTTGCTCACTGTCACAATGGTTTCACAGACTTGGCGGAGAGAGTTTGGCACACAACTGGCGTCCCCGAGGCTTACCGATGCTTTCAAGTGCCTGGCCAGCGTTGACGGCCGCCCCAACGAGACAATTTTCGGTCGCAAGGCCATGCCACGTTATGCCACGTTTTTCGAAGCTCTGTCACAGCAATTGCACGCAGTTGTCAGGTAAAAGGTCAACCGTGCGTCTGGTGCAACGGCAGGACAAAGTTGCAGCACAACGTTTTGCTGATAATTTGCCCGCGCGAGCATGTGTGTGTGCGTGTGTGCGCTCGTGTTTGTGGGCGTGTGCACATGCCTTCGGCCATGAGGAACTGCAACAGCGAGGGTGGGCTTTGCGAAGCATATGATCTGCAGATGAACGGTCCGCTGGCCCACAAGGCTTGCTGCATCTTCCCCTGTGCACGAGCAAGCACTTAAGGTGAGAGCTATGTCTTTGCGACCAGTATCTTGGCACGGCATGTCGGCATGTTTCATGCGCAACCTGCTGAGTCACCTTTCCGAGGCTTCGACAAGAACCCCATGGTGGCTCAATGCGAGGCAGCGTCTTTCCGGGCAGTCTGGAGATGCGTTTTTCCTTCCCTATGGGGCTTCCAGCGCTCAGGGCGGCATGGTCAAAGCACATCCTCACGTGCATTCGGCTGTTTTGGCACTTCCCGAGCCCAAGATGGTTGCCTGGAATGCAAAATGATGATAATGAAAATGATATGGTTCTGCTCCGCTCTAGTTTTGGGCTTATACGGTCGTGACATCTGGTAAGCTGAACTTAGGAGGAGTTGGGCTGCCTGAATGTCGAGGCAAGACGTGTGGTCTGAGTCATGTCCCACATGTCGCATGATCTCAATGCCTCGTCAGCCCGCGGGATGCATGGCCATTACCGACAAGATTCATTGCCTTAGCTCAGCGCTTAGCGCCTGAAGGAATGTCAGTGCAAATCTGTAAGAAAGGGTGGGATAAGCCTTTGTGCATGAGCCGAGGCAGTGTCGATGGCTCTGTCGGTGCCTCCTATGGTGGCCTTCGCATCCGCGGGCAGCCGTGCGTGTGGTGTGGTGGCACGCCAGAGTCTGAGGGCTTCGAGGCAAAGTAACAAAGCCTTCGCAGTGCGTGACATCCAGTCCAAGATTTCTCAGGTCTTGCACAAACGGTGGAAGCTTCAAGTGTGCTCCATACGAGTATCTCGCCAAAGGCGCTACCAAGGCGTCAGGGCGGGACAACCAGGCAGAGGTTTTTCCATCTCTACGCGTCAATGGACCCGAGGTGTTTCCCCATGTGACCGTCTGGGTCTCAGGGAAATTGCGTCAGTAGAACAGACTTGGTGGGAGAGCCGTCATGAGATAAGGCAGTATCTGCAACTGTGGCCCAGTGCCATGTGAAGGGCCCAGTGATCGCTGAGTTCAAAAGTGCGGCAAGGCACGGAGAACGATTGAGCCAGGCCACAAGCCGCTCCTTCCCAGAAGAAGAGACTGCCTGCCTCAAGCCTGGGCCCCAACTCTCCTGGAAAAAGGATGCTGTGCCGCTCCTCCACAGTGCTTGTAACTTTCGTCGGTTTTCTTTCCTAGGATTGCGGAGACGGGCTGCAATGAGATCCATGTGGAGTTTGCATTCATTGTCTCGCTATAGAAGCATCCAGCAATCGAAGTCAGAAGCCTATGCCAGGACATGGCAACCTGTGTGAGCAGCAAAGAAGGCCGTCCGTACGAGTACATCGCAGGCTTCAAGGCCCTAGCACGGCTCGCAGCAAGCAAGAACCTGAGTGTCTGCAATTCGCTGCAACCAACATCGCAGGTCAAAGGGGAGCCTTGCGTGTGGTGCGGTGGCGGGTTCGCTTCCCATTGGCATTGCATTTCTTGATGTAAAATGTACACCTGGTACTTGCACCCTTGCCTGGAGTAATCCGAGTTGCGATGGTCCGTGGCAGGCAGTGCAACTCCGGATCGATCACCTCCTGCGAGCCGTACGACTGGGCGGTCAATGGGGCAGGCAGGATGGGTTCGAATGGATGACTGCGCACCGCACGTTGGCTCGAGTGATGTGTGCAGGCCACGTCTTCGCAACCCAGATGAGCAGCTCGGCTGAATCGTAATCCAGCTCTCTGCCTTGTTTTTTCTCCTCCTGGCATGTCTAACACAGTGGCCCAGGCACCAGCCTGTACTCCAGGGCGGCCTGTGACAAGGCCTCGCGGCAAAGCGCTTTCAAGAGTGGTCCTCTCTTGCAGTCCTTCGAAGGACGGGCAGCCGGGCCCGGTGCAGTTGCCGAGCCAGATGGAGGTGCATGGCTTCCACCAATCCGCCCGACATCCCAGAGCAGAATCTCCTGTTCCACTCGAAGTCAGCGTGAAATGTGTGTGTTCAAGCGCCCAGGTGCAGTGCGGACATCCCAACCCAGTCTGGATGAAAGTGGGCACGGAGCCCAGCGGGGGGCACTTTCCAGCAAGTCTCAGCAAACGCAGATCCAACTGAGGCAAGACTTGCGGCTTCTGCAAGGTGTTGGTTCCTTCGATCAAGGCGCGGCCTGAGATGGCTTTTGGCATCTTTTGGCGACCGGTCTCGGCTCCAGGAGCAGTTTGCCACCTGTGCAGACTACTGCGCCTCCCAAGGTGCAGGGAGTCACGTGCTTGGCTTGTAAGCAAAGAGCGGTATTGTCAGGTGGGTTGCAGTGCAAGTCGGCTGCTTTCGGTTCTCTGGATAGCTGCGATGTGTGTCTCCGGCGAGTTTCAAGCCATTTTCAGCATCTCATCGGATCTGAATCGATGCCAGGAAGCAAGCTGCCACCTGCGACACGAACTTCGAGGTTGCCTCATCCATGTTCGGGGAAGGAGCAAGGAAGCCTTGCTCTGGCAAGGTCTACGGCCACGCGATCTGCGAGTGCCAGCCACCGGAGAGCCCCTTCAAGGCCGAAGCTGAAGTGATGTTACGCTTCGCAAGTTCGAAAGCGTGGGCCCTCCCTGTGCGGAGGCAGCCAACGAGGCGTTCGCCGGTTCGCTGTCCGCACCGAAGGCGGGAGCTGGCTGGTGGGCGGCTGTGCTTCGTGATTGCCCCTTCCGGTCTTCAACATGTGCAACAAGATTGTCCCTGCCCTTTGTACACACTGAGCATGCATCCGAAGCCCTGAAATCAAGAGCGAAAGAAGTTTTGCATGGTAGCGGAGCCCGGTCCGATCTAGTCGGCCGGGTTTTCCGAAGTAGTATTAGGGCCCGAGGCTTGGGGTTCCTTAAGTTTCACCGCATAATAGCTAGCCTTGCGCTTGTTTTCTTCAGCGGGGCCGCTGCACTTGACTGGGCCGGCCATCGCGACAACACTGGGGTCGCTGCACTTAACTGTGCCGACCGCCGAGGCGGAGTCGGAGCAGAATTTTTCATTTGCGTAAGACCCTGTGGGCTTAGGGCAGCACCGGAGCCTAAGGGCAGACGTGGTGGCCGGAGGCAAGAGTTTTCCGAGGAGGTTTGCGAGTATTTACCCGCAGGCCGAGTGACGAGGAGCACGATGGACAATGGTGCAGGGAGCACAGCCCAGCCAGGGCAAGATAATCCGGCCCAGGCGGGGCAGCCTGGAGTGGTCCCACTGGAGCAGGTGGACCGTTTGGTAAGACAGCGCTTGGAGCAAGCCTTCAATGGTGTATTTGGGCGGCTCCTGGCCACAACGGAGAAGGCAGCAGCAGCTGCCGAAGCAAGCGCGAGCTCGCACAAAGCAGAAAGCATGATGAAAGGCTTGAAGGTGGACGCCTTCAAGCCCACGACGCGAGAAGAAGAATTGAGAGGATGGAAGGAATGGTGGTTTGGGTTTTCTACATATGTTTGTGGGCACGACGGGGCCTACGAGGATGACTTCAAGGGGATTGACCTCAACGTGGAGGTGGACCACTCGTTGATGAGTGATGCTGAGGTGGAGCGCAGCAGGAAGCTCTATAGCTTGCTGTGCTCCCTTCTCAAAGGACGACCCTTGTTATTGATCAAAGGGCTGGAGTCCTCGAAGAACGGCTTCGAGGCCATACGGTTGCTGCGGTTGGCAATGGAGCCGCAGGAGAAAACGCGCAGCCTTGCGCTGCTGAGACAGCTCGCAACCTGGACTTTCCAAAGTGGTGTGGGGCTGCAAGAGCAAATTGTGAAGTACGAGGAGGCCCTCAAGATGTACGAGGACGCCAGTGGAAAGGAGTACCCTCAAGAAATGGTCTTGGCCACTGTGGTGAATGGCTTGAAAGATCCCTTGCGCAGCCAGGTGCAAATGAGGCTGACCAACCGCACGACTTACGCGGAGGTGAAGGAGTGGATCACACAGTTTGAAAATTTGAATGCCCCCTGGAGCTCTTCGCTTCAAGGTGGGCGCGGGCAGAGGCGAGACGAGCCACAGCCCATGGAGATCGACGCGATCAAGGGCAAGCCTGGGAAAGGCAAGGACAAGAGCGGCAAGGGCAAGGACAAGAACGGCAAGGGCAAGGGAAAGGACAGCAAAGGCAAGAACAAGGGCAAGCCCGGAGAAGGCAAAGGCTGGAACACATGGAACAGCTGGCAGGCAGGACGGCGGAAGCAAGTGGAAGCAGCAGCCTGGAGGATGGAAGCAGTACGGCGACGGAGGCTCGAGCGCAGGCGGCTGGAGCAGTGGCAGCAGCTGGGGCAGTGGAACCTGGAACGCGGGGAAGGAGAACAAGGGCAAGACGGGAAAAGGGAAAAACGGGGGCTGCAACATCTGCGGCGACCTTCGGCACTGGAAGAACGAGTGCCCAAAGGCGAAGGGCAAGGGCGTGAGCCAAGTGGAGCAGCAGACGTCCTCGGCGAGTTCGGTGGCCGGGGCTTCCACTGCTGCCTCGTCTTTGCCATCGTCCGCTTCGGCCCTCAGGGGCCAAGGGAACTACGGCATCAACCGCGTCTCGGCCTTTGACTGCGGAACGCCCCCGGGGTGTAGAGTGACAGAGGTGTTTGATATTTCCGAGCTGGAGGATGAAGGGGAGTTCTCGCTTGAGGGGCCCGAGGTTCTTATGATCAGTGCGGTTGGGCTGGTTGAGGAGAGTGGCGTTTTCCCGTTCCCGGCCTGCATCCCCGTCTTCCCCATGGACCACACCGACGGCGACGGGCAATACACGGTGGCCGGCGAAGACCCAGGAATTCTCCAAGTCCTGGCGGTGACCGGCCAGGCCCAGGAGATTGATGTTGTCATTGATAGTGGGGCCGATGTGTCCGTGGCGCCTCTGCACTTCAGAGCCTTTGGCTGCCCAACCAGGCGGTCTGGGATGGTCATGCAGGACGCCCAGGGCAAGCAGATTACGGAGGTCGACACGAGGATCCTCGAAGTGGGTGTCCAGACCTTGGCCGGCGACGAGGTGACGATCAAGGAGCGGTTCTGCATAGTCAAGGTGCGGTCGACGATCATCTCTTTGGGCCGGCTGCTGCGAGCTGGCTGGCTGTTGGGAGATGAAGCGGGGAGGCCTGTTATTCACAAGGGCCCCCACAAAGTCCCAATACGCTTGCGGCGCAACACCCTCACAGTTGGCGCCGTGATTTCTGAAGTTGCCGCGCCGAGCGAGGAGGAGGAAGCTGAGTTCTCGGAGAAAGCCGGCCACGACAAGGGCACCGAGGACTTAAGCGCCAAGCGGGGCGTGAACATGCTGACCTTCGACGATGTTGGGCCTTTGCCCCCTGAGCTGGAAGATGTGGTTCAGGTGCCCGGGTGGCACATTGTTCCCAGCGGCCTGCCAGTGCTGGTGACCCACGCCACGGAGGAGCTTGAGCTTGAACGTTTTCTTTGGAATGCCAGTGACTGGTGCTGGCTGGCGGTGTTTGTCAAGATTGAGGCCAGCAAGGGTCTGCCAAAAGCAGGTGACGCGTGGGTGCAGGTGATGGCGATGGAGACCGAGAGCTTCGAGACGGCACCCAAAACCCTTGCCGAGATCGATGAGGAGCTTGCTGGGAAGCATGACACGGTCGTGGTTCTGCACGTGGACGAGCTGCCAAAGAACTTGCTGACGGAGCCCCGGGACTACTTCAAGGAGCCGTTCGGTGGCGAGGTCGCGGTCCCGGTGGACAGCAATGCAGCAGGCATTGGCGAGGACCCAATGGAGGTGGTCGGTGAAGGGCGCACCCATGAGCGAGAGCAAGCTGATGAGATTGAGGAGCTTGAAGGGGTGCGGCTTGAGGAAGCGACGCCCTTGAAAGAGCTGCGGCAGCTGTGTGCCAAACTGGGTCTACCCAAGTCCGGGGGGAAGCCCAAGGTGCTTAGGCGCCTTCGCGACTACTATGAGACCTTGGAGAAGCGCCTCAGCTCAGAGATTGCGAGGAAGATGTACCAGGAAGCCGAACGCCTCCCGGACGTGCCCAAGCTGCCAAAGCTGCCGAGCACGGTCCAGCAACAGCTCCACAACGTCACGCATCATCCCTTTGCTGCCTGGTGCGAGGCTTGTGTCCTTGGGCGCTCGAAGCAGACAGCACACCCGAGAGCGGACCCAGAACAGCCAGTGGAGGAAGCAAGGAAGGGGCCCAGGATTGAAATCGACTACTGCTACACCTTTACCAAGCATCGTCATGAACTACAAGAAGGAGAAGGCAACGAGCCCAAGGCCGCCGACCAACGAGCCGAGGGCGATGGAGATGATGCTGCCCGGCGCCCTGAAACAGAGGACCCAGAGCACAAGGCCGAAACTTCCGACGAGGGCAAGGTAGACTATCGGGACCAGTACGGGCTCACCTTGGTGGCGGCGGAAAGCAGCACGGGGTGGCTGTTGGCCATTCCGGTGTTGGAGAAAGGGGCCGGAGCTCTGAAGCGAGTTGTGGAACAGCTGGTTCGCCTATCTCTCCAAGTCGCTCCGGGCCAGAGTGTGCTGTTTCAAGGAGACCCTGAGCCCTCCATCCGGCAGATTATCAATGCATGCGAGGCCTGCCGTGCCAGGCTTGGTCTGGCCACAGAGAAGAGATGGGTGCCAAGGGCCAGCCACGCCAGCAATGGACAGGCCGAGAAAGCCATCCAGACCATCAGGACCAACGGGCTGACCCTGAGGTCCTTTGTTGAAGCCAGGATTGGTGCCTCAATTGAAGGGCACCGCCACTTTTACCCGTGGGTGATGCGACACGCTGGGTTCCTGTACAACAGGTTCTCAGTGAACCCTCGCGGCGCAACAGGCTATGAACTCATGCACGGCCGCGCCTTTCGTGGACAGCTTGTGCCTCTCGGTGAACAAGTCCTGTACTATCGGCCCAGCAAGCACAGAGGGGACTTGCAATGGTGCAGAGGCATCTGGTTAGGCGTTCATGAAAGAAACGGGGCACATCTGATTGGCACCGCCGAGGGCATCCACGAAACGCGTTCTATTCGAAGACTACCTGAAGAACAACAATGGGATGCAGCAGCCCTGCTTGGAATGAAGGGGCTGCCGTGGTCGTACATGGGTCGCGGAAAACGCAAAAGACCACTCTACACAGGAGCAGCTGCCACCAGAGTCCCTTTGCTGCCTGATTCCAGCACTTTGGAAGAACTTGCCCGAGCGGCAGGGCGAGCAGCCGCAGAAGCAATTTCAAGCGGTACCCCAGTGCCACCTTCGAGGCCTGGACCTGGGCCGGGTCCAGACGAGGCTGGGTCTGATCCCTCATCGAGCCCTAGCTCCCGCGGAGGCACGGCACGAGAACCAGACGGACCACACGAGGAATCACAACAGCGACTTCAAGCACAAGGGGCCGGCCAGAGCCAGCAGGCACGAGAACCAGACAGACCACAGGAGGAATCACGACAGCGACTTCAAGCACAAGGGGGTGACCAGAGCCAGCAGGCACGAGAACCAGACAGACCACAGGAGGAATCACGACAGCGACTTCAAGCACAAGGGGGTACAGCCAGTATGGACACAGGTGGCACAGGTGGAGTCCCAAGAGAAAGGCCGGATGATGTGGGGGTCGCGGTACCGAAGAGACCACGTCTTCTCCTAGACCGGCCAGAGAGAATGACACCTAGCCCTGCGGCTTCACCTGGTGCTTCGTCGTCTCTCTACCCACCGGGCTTTGCAGGTGTGAACCAGATCTGCGACGACATCCCAGGGCAAGAGCTTGCTGGACTTGACACGTGGGGCCCTGAGGTCGAGGAAATCCTGGAGGAGGAGTGGTACAACGCGGATGGCATCGATGAGGCCTGGTGGGACGAATTCGGCGAGAAGCCCCCCGAGGTCACCGAGGAAGAGCTAGTGGCAATTGACCGACGAGCCGACCTTGTCGAACTGGAGAGGCTCATGAGCATGGGCGTGGCGCGTTTTCCCCACAAGGACGAGGACCTCTCCCACCACGAGCTCCTGACGACAAAGCTTGTACGAGATTGGAGGAAGCGGCCGGGCTGGACACGTAGAGCCCGGCTGGTGGCGAGAGAATTCAAAACACTCTCGGCATGGACAAGCGATATGTTCGCTCCCGCAAGTTCACTGGCTGTCGTTCACACACTGGTCTCCTACGCCCTCACGAATGGCTTAGAACTCACCACCCTCGACGTGAAAGATGCTTACCTGAATGTCGACCAACCCAGCAAGGTCGTGATACAGGTGGGCGCCGACTTGTTCGAGGAGGGTGGCCTTGGAACCAAGACCCTGGTTTTGGAAAAGCTCCTGCCAGGGCAAAGGGTTGGAGCCAGCAGCTGGTACGAGATGGCCAAGAGCATCCTCGACGAGGCGGGGATGAGAAGTTTTGACAAAGAACCCACAGTTTTCAGAGCAGCTGGAGGCGAGAAGAGCGCGATGATTCTTCACGCAGATGACGGGTTGCTCGCCTCCTCCAAGGGTGAAAGAGAACGAATCATTAGCGTTTTCGCTAAGAAGGTCAAGGTCCAAGTCGGGACCCCCATGGTGGAAGAAGGAGACACGCTGGAGTTCTTGAAGAGGAAGTACGTGCGAGTTGCCGCGGGTGTGGCTGTGTACTCCAACGGCAAGTACCTGGAAGCACTCCTCAAGGCAGCCGGCAACAACGCCAAAAGAAAGGACAGCCCGGCTGACCAGACCTTCCAGGAGCCAGACGACACCAAGGAGCTCGACCCGAAGGGTGCCAAGATGTTCAAGGAGTGCGTGGGCCGGCTCCTGTACTTAGCCCACTCCCGGCCCGATATTCAGATGGCCGTTTGCGTGTTGAGTTCCCGCATGTCACAGCCAACCACCGGAGCAAGGAAGCAGCTTTTCCGCGTCATCGGCTATTTGGCTGGCGCACCCGACCTGGGATTCCTCATCAAGCCCATTGTGCCAGGTGCAAGGCTGAAATGGCCCGGCGACGGCTGCACCGATGAGGTGCCGATTTACGAGGTGGAGGCGGTGACCGATGCCGATTGGGCCGGGTGCAAACGGTCAAGGCGAAGCAGGACGAGCATCCAGCTCTACGTGGGAGGAGGCCTGGTTGGAAGCATGGTCCGCAGCCAGCGATCCATTGCACTGAGCTCTGCCGAGTCTGAGTACCTAGCCCTTGTCAGCGGGGCTTGCGAGGCAACCTACCTGGTCGATGTGCTGAGGTTCCTGGTTCGAGGGGAAGCCGAGGTGAGGCTTACTTGCCTTACCGACTCAGCAGCATGCAGAGGAATATGCCAGCGGCTGAGCGCAGGTCGCGTGAGGCACCTCCAGTGTGCTGTTCTATGGGTGCAGCAAGCAGTTCGGAACAAGCAGCTCCGAATTGGGACGATCAGTGGCAGCGACAACCCAGCGGACATCGGAACGAAGCCCCTGGGAGGAAGCCGCATCCGGGAGCTACTGTGGACTATGGGTTGTTTGGAGGCAGATGGGTCTGAATATGGACTCGAGGACTATGAGGCCGCACAGCAAAAGAAAGCAATGGCAGCGGCCCTCAAGGAGTTGAAGAATAATGGCCACAAGGTGGGCAACGTGAAGGCAATTCTGCCTTTGGTGCTTTTGCTTTCGCAGGTTGGTGTGGTTCAGGGCTTGGGCCTGGCAGCGGTTGCACCAGAAGGTGGTGAAGACGACTGGGTTGCAACACTCGCCGTGACGATCGGGCTTGGCATCTTTGTCCTCATGTTCGTCTATGGGATCCCCTGGGGCATGATGAAGCTGCTTAAGTGGAGCTTCAGGATTTTCCAAAGCCAGGGTGGCAGCAGGAAATGCGAGAAGGGTGTGCAAGCAAACCTTGGAATGAGCCCCAAGGAAGAGAAGTTTTCACAGGAGTACGTGACCAGGTGCACCGAGATGCGCCAAGTGATATCTGAGCAGCGGGCGGAACTAGATGAGTTTGAGAAGGTAGTGCGCAGACTGCGCACCGAGAACGCCGAGCTCAGAAGAGCTCAAAGGCCTGTACACCAAGTTCCTGCTGAGATTGCCGTGACGGCAAGAAAGGGTGAGCGCTACCATCGCCCATCTTGTGGAAATGTAAAGCGCACCGAGTTTAAGTTGTACACGCCGTGCATGGCGTGCTTTGGAACGGGCTAATTTGTGAGAGCCTGTTTTCTCCTAGTGCGGCTGTGGCGCCTGCAAGTGCGTCACAGCCGAGGCGGGGTGCAACAAGATTGTCCCTGCCCTTTGTACACACTGAGCATGCATCCGAAGCCCTGAAATCAAGAGCGAAAGAAGTTTTGCAACATGGGTCGATTGTGGAACACCCGATGCGTGGTGACACGAATGCGGGAGGCTGATGACATGAAATGCCTCAACAGTGTGGTTGCTTCCCCAGAGCTGTGTTTCCTGGAGCGCTCACAGAACATGCGGTTCTCGTCTGAGGAGACAGGCTGCGGCTCAATCAAGGACAAGCTGATTTGCCTCAGCACCTTGGATGCCACAGTGCCACAGTGCGTCTTCTGTGCCTCTCTTGGCCAATCTCCGCTTGAGGCAGCATGGACGGAAGCCCGAATGCAACTTACCGCTCGACGAAGATTGCCGGGCAGCCGTGTGCCTGGTGTGGTGGAGTGCTCGCGCCTCAGCTTTGCTGCAAGCACGGGGGGCTCCAGTCTTTGCTCTTTAATGCAGTGAGGGCCTGCACATCGCACGATCCTAGCGTGATGTGTGTGGCTTTGGACTTCCTTGTCAACGGCCAGGGCCCTGTGCGGGGCTCAGATGCGATGCAGGGTGCTGTGTGCAGCCTTTATGCCACAACGGTTTGGAGCGAAGACAAGCGGACCATACTGGAACTTGACAGGCGTATGCCACCCGCCACATCGTGGTGCCCCTATCATCTCGGCAACGGAGGGGTTGCTGTTGGTGTGGGTCGCACACATTCCCCTCGTTACACTTGACTGAGGCTGCACCCTCCGTTGATGTAGCGGGCTGCGACAAGGCATCATTAATGAATCAGTACCTGCCATGTCAGACTTTCATAGTTTTGCGTAATGCGCTCCACCCGTGGATTTCTTACTGTTTACTTTTTTCCGTTCTAACCGTGCGCAGGCAAAAACTGCGAGAAACTTCGGCGATGTTACGTGCCTCAAGCGCGTAGAAGACGGATGCAACACCCTCAAGGCCCCATTCGCCAGCTTTCCCTTCGCTTCTTGGCGGGACATGCATGCCGAGTAGTGTGGCAGGACAGAAACACTTGCTTGCAAAGCGTCGACGGCCGTCCCTTCGCTCAAGTTGCGGGACTCAAGGCCAGCCCAGCTGTGGGGCAGGGTGCTTTCTTGCGGCTCACCTAGCAATCCCAAACATCGGAGGTGGAGGGCCAGCCGTGTGTGTGGTGCGGGGGATTGCCAGGAGCCCTAATGAGCCCCAAGACCTCTCAGCAGCATTGCAACATGTGGGGTCCCGACTTAGGCCTTGCACCTCCAACAACGGAAACCTCTGCGAACCCTACGAGTTTGCGACCCACGGCGAAGGCGGGGGGAGCCTTCGATTACAGCAGTCGCGGCTTGAATCGAGTTTGCTGATCGTCAGAGCCAGGACATGCCTATGACTTCAACAATGATAACAACTACTACTCCGCGGCTTGCGAGGACGAGCGAGTTTTCTTTGCTTTGTTTCAGTAGGACCAGAGGCTTGTGAGGACGAGTGATTTGCTTGCATGCTGTTTCAGTAGGCCCAGAGGCTCAGCAAAGCTTTCATTTTCTGCTTGAGGTGTCGGATTTGAAGTCTAGGTCGATGCAGAGGCTCTTTATTTCGGATGGTACGGTGCATCCATCATCATCCATCCTCGCATCTCACCTCCCGATTTGGCTGCCATTAGAGGCTGGCGGCCGTTAGACAAAGGCTTGACAAATTCTTTAGCCATATCTTCCATCGATGCGGAGGGTCCCTCCCTAGGTGACGGCATGGGATACACCCCCGCGTTGCACCTGCATCGTCGTCAGGCATTGCTTAAATTTTTTTAAAGATGTGTATTGGCTGCACGAAAGCACATCGGGCTTAGCACTCAACGGCTTCTAGAACTGTGACTCTGGCACCAGGGTGGAGAGCCTGTTCAGCACACCATGAGCAGCGCCGTTGCCATGGCCGGAGTCACTGCTGCCGTTTCGACCTCGGTTTGCTCTTTCCTGGAAAAGCGCCAGCTGGGACCCTCTCCTTCGAAAAACACCAGGTGGACTGCGGGATGCCTTTCCCGCTCTGGCGCGGAGTCAGCCAGTCCCCAAGCCTCGAGACCCGAGACCGTCCGAGACCGCCTCGCCTCGCGCCTCGCCTCGCGTCTCTTTGAGGCAAGACCTGCGGCTTTTGCCAGGTCCTGGTCGCCATGGAGGCTCGGCGGGGCCGTGACGGCGGGACCCCGCGAGTCCGAGTGCTTTGCTGTGCAGACCCAGGCTGCCAAGTCCTACCTCAACTGCGAGTCCTACTGCCAGGCAGGCCACTGAGAGCAAGTCGAAAAGGTTGGAAGACCCTCCTCCAAGCCAGTCTGAGTCTGACCTGCTGTCCTGGCAGGCACAAGGAGAGCTTCAGAGCTTCGCGAGACTTTTCCCATGATGTGTTCTGCGTGATGAGGGCGACTCTCCGTGCTACGTGCTACGAGTCGTGTGCGCAGGAGGTATGGCATGCACGAAGGCTTTCTCAGGAAGTCTGCACAGCAGTGGCCCCAGAGTGCTGATGGTGAGTGACACTCAATTGTCACTCTGATCACCTTGCAGCGAGTTGCAGCTTTGCAGCTGCAGGCTGTGATCTTGGGTGTGACCCTTACTACATGCTTCTACTACAACTCGTTATGGTGGGGTGTTTCCTCGGCCAGGCCGGCGATGAGCTGCACTGCAGAGTTCCCGAAGGACATCTCCCCGATCTGCGAATGCGCTGCGCCCAGCGTCAAGGCCGGAGACGAGACCCGAGCCAGGGAGAGCCTGCAAATGGCTGCAAAGGAAGGGTTTATCTGTTGTGCATCGAACAGGAGAACGATGTGAACATCAAATTTGTGGAGACGGTTGCCCGTCCGGCTGAGGCGTGTCGAGCAGTCTAGAGTCTAGAGTGTATACGAGATCGCTTATCCGTAGGCGTCGCATTGCTGAAGGATTCTGTGTACATTATGTTTCAAAGCAGGCTGAGACGATGTGCCTCACGCCAGCAGTTGGGTGCTTAAGCCAAGCGCCAACGGGAAATCGTTTTTGCCCCCCTTCTGAGCATGTTTGACGCTTTTAAGGAGAAGGGTTGCAGCGCTTTGCACAGCAGGGACGCTTGCCTGAGTGCCTCCGCTGAGATGCTTGACAGACGCATCAACACGCATCATCCTCATGCCCTTCTCTGTGTTAGGTAGCAAGGACGCGAGTGCGGAGAGCTATCGTGGCTTGAAAATGGCGGGTGAGCCGTGTGTGTGGTGCGGCGGCGCGCTTGGGCCTCAGCCGTTTGCAGGCAAGGGCGCTAGCTCGGCTGCGTCGCGTGCTCAGGCCTTGCACAAGTCACAGCGAAGCAAAGTGTGCCCCTTACGACTTCCTCGCGGGCGGTCAAGGACTGGTGTGCGCCCCAAAGGAAGGAACTCCATCACTCGCGGACACACGGCTTTAGCTGAGAGTTTTCCACTCAGGCCTTCCAAACCCGCCAGGCCAGGGCCTTGGCTGGCAGGGTGGCCTGTGAGAGCCTTAATGCAGAGGATGTGCCTTAGCCACGACAGTTTCTCCACTACCCGCGACAAGAAACCAACTATCCCCGACAACATTGTGTGGGACAGCAGTAGCAGATTCCACAGCAAAAACACGGTCGTTTGCTCTGTTTCGAAGCGGGATCGTTATTCTTTGTCGTGGGTTTTTGGTTTTTTTGGTCGGGGGGTGGTGCGTTTCTTGCCGGGGGGTTGGGTGTTTGAAACGTGTCGGGGATTAAGCGCGCCCTCCTTAATGCAGTTTCTTGCCGGAGGCTGCTTCTGTGATGGATGTGGCCCACTGCAAGGCAGACATGAGAACTGCAGCCAGCTTGTCTCTAGGCCCTAGGCTTTCCTTGTCAAGGAAGCCAGCCGCACCTGGGAAAACGTCGGCTGCCTCGCTCGGGCAACAGATGGCTGCCACAGTCTCACGGTGGGATCTTTGCCTATGCTCTTGCTTGCTTGTGTTGATGTCACTCTGGCAGGAGAAGGATGCTTGCCTGTCACACGTTGATGGCCGCCCTTATGCGCAGATCGCTGGCCTCAAGGCCTGGACCTGCATGAGGCTTCTCGTTGGTTTTTTTTAAATTTTTTCGCTGAGAGTCAGCATCAGGTCGAGGGGCAGCCATGCGTCTGGTGTGGCGGAACGTGTGAAGCTTACTGGCTTCCACAGAGTGCTGCTTGCAGCGACTGGCGAATGATGAGCTTTGATTCGGCAAGGGCCTGCCATGAGAAGGGGACCATGTGCGAGCCGTACGAGTACGCGATGCAGGGAGACGGTCCCATCCTCACGCCAAGCGGCACAGCATAATAGGGCGATCTCCGCTTGGATGTAGATTCTCGGGACGTGTGCTGCTTGGCTATCAGGTCATGCCTTCGACGCGTCAGCTGCAAAGAGCACTTTCTTCACTGCTGCTTGCGAGGCGAATGGCCTTCCACGGCCATACATGTGCATGTCTGAAGCCTTGAAGCTCTCCCGGCGCAGGATGGCAAGCCCGTGGAACACAGGGTCTCGTCTGCCCTGGTGGAAGCCGGCTTGCCGCTTCAGGCTGGGTGTCAAGGACGATGCGCACGTCAGATCTTGCCGCGGTCCAGGTGGATTGCGGAGTTCCGAACCCGACTTGGGACAAGGTCGGCCCGACCCTCAGTCTTTTAATGTCGCTCATGCATCTGTTGCGCTTTGCTACTAGAACGGCAGTCCGAGGCAAGACGTGCGGATTCTGCAAGGTCCAGGTGGCGAAGGAGGCGAGCACGGGGCAGCGGATGAGCACCAGCACCATCTCGTACAGAGAAGGCGTATAAGTGAGCTCGCGTTCGGGTTCGAGCTCTTTGCCAGGCTGCTTCCACCTTCAAGACCTGCGACGCCTACTGCAAGGGGCAGGGTCGCGGCCCCTTCGCGTCAGGATTCAGGGGCGTTCACAGACTCTCCCGGCGACTGAGGCAACCTCACTTGTGCTGGGGCATGGTCGGCACACCCATACAGCACTGCTCTTGGATTCAGAACCGCGGCATGCCACTTGATGTGTCCTCGGATAAGTGCTGAAGAACTTACGCAGCGCAGTGAAGCTTTTCTTCGTCTAGCGTTCTGGAGGCTGCGACGTTGCGCAGTTACCTGAGACTGCAGGGATGACAATACTTCAGGAGTGAGTCAGTTGCGTTCTGACTGTTCGATCTTGAAACGAAGGTCCACCAAAAGCTGCGCTGCAGTGTTTACGGATGATCAGTGGCCACTGTGCCAGTGCAACGCTCCAGCTGCCACGGTGGCATGCCCAATTGAACTCCGGGAGGCGGTCCGAAGACTCATCCGTACGGCCGCACTCGGTGCCCAGGTGGCTGCCTCGTCAGCGGCATTCGACTTGCCGCGCCCGGCAGAGGTTCGCCCAGCCGTGATTCAAGTCTTTCCCATAATTTCTCATGGGTATTCGAGTCTAAGTTCGAGAACACAGAGAAAGCCATGCTGAGCCTCAGCTGCTAAGGAAAAGCAGAGCACACTCCAAACAGCAACTGATGTTCCCATGACGCAAAACTGTACATACCCAAAGGGTTGTTGATCTGCCCCGTGAGCTCCCAAAGGCACAGGCAGCATGTCAGCAGGATTTGGGTTGGCATCGGATGTTGCTCGGACATTGAGTCAAGAGACTCTACTCACATAGGAACATTCACCGTGAGTCAGCTGCTTTCAGTTACGTTTGTGGGGAACATCGAAGTTCACACGTGATCCATGCTGCGGCTGAATGCTCAGCATTGGTCCAAGAAATTGTAGGATAGTTTACTGCATGGACGCATTTGCACCTGGCCTCAAGATGCTCGCATTGGGGCAGGCTGAGCTCGCATGCCTGTACACGGCGGCCGGTGCCTGAAAGCAAAAGCTGAGGGAGAGTTGCTTAGATCAGAGAGCGCCCAGGAGCAGGGCTGCAGTGCTTTGGACAACGAGCTGGACTGCCTCGGCCGGGTCCAACATATGCTTTCATGCTGTCTCTTCCTCCTCCTTCAAAATCCTCACGACGAACCAAGGTAACAAGGACGGCAGCTCCGTGACCGACATCAAGGGCCTGAAGGTTCAGGGAGAGCCTTGCGTGTGGTGCGCAGGAGGGTCGTGGTCCCGGCATGTGCTCGCCTTGGCCTTCAAAAATTCCTCCAAGCTCCGAGGCCCTGCACGGACTACAGCGCCTCCAAATGCGTTACCTACGACTTCTTGGCGCGGGGCCAGGGCCTGGCTGCCGCCCCAGTCTTGCCAGTCTAAGAAGCAGAAGTGTTCCTGAGTGACTGCAAAAATGTCCCCGCTCGCCGAGGCCTTCACGGCACGGGTCGGCTTGCGAACTTACGAGCAACACCGGGGCAAGACGCAGAAGACGTTCCCTGCCAGGCATCTCCTGTCGCGGCTGAGGTTGCCAAGTGCAAGGCTCCGCACAAGTAGGAGGCATCGGTGGTGTAACGGTGTAACTTGTTAGCATCTGTGCCAGACTCATCACCGTCCCTTCGGCGACACCAAGTGCCTGAAGAGGGTGACGGAGGGATGCAACACGATCCAGGACCCTCTGCCAGGAAGCCCCGAAAACGACGGGCTTGGCCTGGCTCCTCTTTCCGAAGCACCCTTGTCTCGATGTTTGGACGTGAATGTTGTGTAAGTGCAGAGTCCAAGCAGTCAAGGGAACATGACGAGGCTGCCAGTCTAGCGTGACTGTGCGTGACCTTGTTGCGCATTGCATCGCCTTCTGCATAGCGAACTGATGCGGCAGGAGCAGAAAGCATGCCTGGCCAGCTACGATGGCCGTCCATACACGCAGATCCGAGGCTTCAAGGTCCCTTAGCATCAAAATTGGGCAGTGTCCCACCAGCAGAGTAAACGGAGAGAGTGAGGCTAGTGATAGTGTGTCGAAGGGCGCTGCCAAGTAACAGTCCGGCTACCAGTGCCTTGCAAAGCAAGGGTGCTGGCAACCACACTCGATCATTCAACCACTCAAGAAGTCGTTCAGAGAACAATCCAATCAATCGTTGCATCAAACAGTCAACCCAACAACCAAGCAAGCAAGCAAGCAATCCATCAGTCTGTGATTCAGTCAGTCAATCAATCAAAAACTCAATCAACCAATCAGTCACTCAATCCATCAGTCAGTCAGTCCGTCAGTCAATCAATAAATCGATCAGTCAATCAAACATATCCACCCGATCAATGAGTCAGTTCGGTAATCATGCAATCTTTCAGTCAGGCAATCAATCAGTCAGTCACTCACTCTCTCAATCAACCAAGCAATGAATCAGTCAATCAATCAATCAGTCAGTCAGCCAGCCAGTCAGTCAGTCAGTCTGTCAATCAATCCATCCGTCCATCCAGCAATCATTCAAGGAGTCAATCAGTGTTTTTTCCCCAAACAGCGATAGCCTTGTTGTCTTGAGCTGAGTAAGGTTTGGTGCAGTGTGGGCACGGTCCGGGGCAAGTTCCGGGCGGGTTCCGGGGCGGATTCCGGGCGGTCCATGGCGGGTTTCCGGCAGGACGGGCGCCCAGAACCTGTAGATTTTTACCCTGCCTCCAGTACTACTTTTGATGTCCTTAGCTACGTCTCTGCGCGACTGTATTGGCCCAAGTCCCCGCTGTTAAAGGAGCGCACAGGGTTGACACGGAACCCAGTTTAGGTAGCTGTGATACCTGAAACTTCATAACCTACACCCGAAAATGAGCTCCTGAAGCTCCCGACAAACCTTTCGAAGGCCAGCAAACGCATTCGGCCCTACTTTCAACAAGTCTGGTGTTCAATGCCGTCCCCACAGCTCCGAAATTCTTTAATTTAGGTTCCAGCGCTCCAACCAAAGCCTAAAACGCATTTAGAGCGGTTTCAGCTTTGCTGGTGTCCCTGGCCCTACTCCCGAAGCTCCTGAAGCCTCCGACCAAGCCCAACAAGACCACCTAAACGCATTAAATGCATTCGGCCCTAGTTTCGGCAAAACTGCTGTTCAATGCCATTCCCTACACACGAACATGCTTTTTATTTGTCCTGTCAGCAACAGCAGCAACAACCCATAAACGGCTCAAGTTGAGTTCTGGTTCAGCAAATCTGGTGTTCAATGCCGGGCATGAGCAACCCATCTACAGCTTTGTCAGCGATTCTGATGCCATGAGTCCAACGACAGCCATTCCGCTGTTGGGGATATTCAACGGGATGGCTTCCAACCAATGAATGAATCGATCAATCAATCGTTTAGCCCGTTCATCAGCAAATCAACCAAGCAATCAAGCAATCAATCAATCAGTCAGCCGTTCAGTCAGTCAATCAATCAATCAGTCAATCAGAGTGACGGTTTGTGCTGAACACACTCGCCAAGCATTTGGACACAGGGGCGCTTCTGGGCCTGTGTCGTTGGCTGGAAATTTCGCACCATCCCGCGCTTGAGTGCTCCATCCAGCGGAACTTAAAATACCCAAGGGCACTCTGCTCTCAGGGAAAGCATTCGTGGTCTAATTGTAGAATGTGTGAGCAATGTTGGGAGGTGTGTTGAGTGTATGAAACGGTTTGCCCTTGAAACTGCCTGTCGCAGGAAACAGCCTTGCCGCGCTAAAACAATGCTTCAACATGTGAGCACCTCTTATGCATCGGAGCATCTATCAGCACAAACGACCGCCAACAATCACAAACTGCTTCAGTAGGAAGACTGCACCCGAATGTAGCAGAAATTCGCAGACAAAGCTGAGCTGTCTGCCGGCTGCTCAAGAACATAGACAAGGGAAGATGACACTGGAGCGACATTCTGAGAAAATTCCAAGTCCAACTACCTGCGCAACGGCAGGCTAGAACGAAGCCACACTGCGAGAAGCCGAGTTGTGAGCAGTGTGGCTCTGCCAGGAATGTGAGGACTTTAGGGGAACCCCGCAGCTCCAAGCTCCAAAAATCTTCTTGGCGACATGACCCCCAAGCTCGTCTGTCTGCTCGTTAACTAGGATTTTCTGTCAGTTTAAGTGAGATATTGACCACATACCGGGTGTCTCATGACACTGTGGATGCTGGTCTGCAGCGGCTTCATCTCATCAAGCACATGCTGCAAAAGATTCGAAACGGTATGTCTGCTGACACCGCAGCGTGGCCCGAGAAAACAGAGAACGGAGATTCTTGAGCCTTTTTGTTCCGCGGTGGCGAAGAATGGCGCTTGACGCATGTCCCTAAGGTTGAGGGCCAGCCGTGCATTTGGTGTGGTGGTGTGCCAATAGCTTACAGAGCAAGAGACGGTGTGGCTGCTGCACTTCAGCTCCAGAGCGACCTTCCGGTGAGGCCTTGCACCAGTGGCGGCAACCTTTGCGAGCCAGGAGCTTACAAGAGCTTGCGGCCACGGCATCCGATTCCCATCTGAGATCTCTGAGCGCTGGTCACCCAGTCTTAAATTGTCTCAGGCCTTATGAGTTCGGGAAGTACAGCGCGGAGAGCAGCCAGCTCAAAAGGTTTTCCACAGTCTTCCCTTCTGGCTGACATGAGCACATTCCATTTCATTTTCGCTCATGAGATCCAGGTGCTGTCTGGTACACTGCTACCTGCGAGGCACTGGCCGCAACTCACTGTTGCGAGAAGTTTGCTAAGACTAAAGTCGGATGGCAGAATGGTGAGCCGGTCGAGCATGAGATTCCAAGCAATTTCGCCAACTATGGACAGACGATTCATGTCAGCGCCCCGGTCCGTGGATGTCCTGTGCGCCAATCTGAGCGAAATGCGCTATCCGTGGAGGTGAACTGCGGAGCGCCAGAGCCTGTGTGGTACAAAGTTGGTCTGTGCCTCGAAAGTCTTGCAAGATTCGGAGACTCGGAGAACGCATCAAAACCGCAGGCAAAGAATGTGGCTTCTGCAAAGTACAAGTTGCCGCCATGGCCGCGGCCTCGCTTCGCGCGGCGAGGCCTCGCTTCGCACTGCCTCGCCTGGCTTGAAAAGGCAGCGTCCGGGTACAAGAACTGCGACACTTACTGTCGCGCCCAGCCCGGTTGAAGGCTTAGCTCCGCTCACGGACTCGCTTCACGGCGTCTTGCAGCCTTGGCGTCACTTCGACCAAGGCAACCTGACCTGCAAAGCAGCATTCAAGGGTGCCAAGCACAGCCGCGGCCTCCGAGAGTTCATCCTGTGAGCGATGGTGCGGAGTCAGCGCAGCTCCGAGCTGAGGCTGCGACGAGCAGCAGAGGGCTCAGAGTGCACGCATTCCATCTGCTTACTCCTTCAGATCCCGGAGCTTGCGTGTCCGCGGGGGGAAAGCAGGTCGGCGATGGCTTGCTCTGACGTATTCCCTGCTGACACTGCCCCAATCTGCGAATGCAATCCGGCCTTCGGCAAGGTTGGGACTGTGTGCGCAAGTTGCGCGGGGTGTTTCGTGTGTGCTTCCGCTCAGGCAGTGACCGTTCAGCCAAGACCATCGGAGGCCAGTCGGAAGATCCGGCAAGAGGGAAGGGCGAATCAACTGATCTGTTGCCTGCAGGCCAACATGAAGTGCCTGAGAACTGAGGCACGGTAGCTTTGTTGACCTGGGAGGTGCAATTTCAGATCGGATTGGAGTTACGCTGTCCGTTCGCAGGGTCTTGGATGCTCTGCCGTCTCCGACAGGCTGAATTGCTTGAGCTGCCTGCTCAGTATATGCAGCCGTTCCGGAAAATATCCCTCAGTTCCAAAGGAAGCACATTGGGGCCACGCTTTCCTGGCTGGCTTAGCCGCCACCTCCTCCTTTTGGTTCATGCTTGATCTCCTGCAAGGGTTTCGAGTTTCCAGCAACAATTCACTTCACTTCTGTAGTCTTGTTGGGAACAAGGCCCTCCTTTTAGATTTAGTTGTGTGGTGTTTTCTTGTGGTAGGGTTCTGGACTTTGCCGGCACGAGCTCCTTTCAGGGTTGAGTGTTTGGCATTCACCATCTTCTATGGGAATTTTTCGGTGGAGCCCATGTTTTGGGTATGCCACCAAACAGATTCAGTCGTTTGCGGACTGGTATAAAGCTGAGTCGTCGAAACCATCCATAGCAATAGAAGAAGTGGTCGGTGTGAACACGGAACTCATGTGGTATACGGGAAATGTAGAAGCATCCTTGTAGTGTTTGAGGGGTTGCCACACATCCATACCCATCCTACCACTTTCGGGTTTGCGGTGCCACTACTCAGTACTCGTCATCACAGTCGCTGTGGGTAATGTTTTGGTCTCATTTTAGGGTTTGGGATTGGCCACCATCATCTCTCACTCAGGCCAGTCGCCTTTGTCAGAGCTAGGCTAGGCCCATCATCTTGTTTTTGATTTGGGGGTTTCGGGTTTGCCATGCGCCATTTGTCGTCAGAGTTTGGGTGCTTGGGAACCAGCTCTCCCTTTTGGACTGTGCTTTCTTACCGTGCTTGAAAAAAGTTTGAATTCAAGTTTTGGTTTGCTACCCGCTACCCAGCATGATTGGCATGTCATTTCTTGTTCCGGTTTGGTGTTTTGGGATGGGTGGGGGGGTTGGCAGCTAATTTCAGGGTTTAGACTCAGCCGGGGCTACTTGGGGGGTACGGGTCTTGGTGGCCGGCAGCTTTTGGGGTTTGGGGTTAGCAGCATCATCTATTTTCAGGGTTTGAGGTTTGCTTTCAGTTTGATTCTTGAGTTATGTTGGTCGAGCCACCCACTATCATTTCAGAGTCATGCTGTTGGGTAAGCAGTCACCGGACTACTGATCATTTTTCAGGTCTTGGCTTTGTGAGGGGTCCGTGTTTTTCCCAGGTGTAGCGCGGCCTTTGTTTCTCAAGGCGTGGCGACTTTTCTTTCTTCTAGGTGTGGTGGGGAGGAATTCCTCTTGTTGATGAAGTCTGGTGGTACTGGGCATTTTCTTTCTTGGGTGTGGTGGCATTCTTTTTCTCCCCGGGTTTGCCAGTGAACTGGTCCTGTGGTCTCAGTCTTGGGCCTCTCCCTAAGTTGTAGTTTTTTAGCCGTCCAGTTGTCGTCTTATTGCGTGCCGTGTGCCCGAATTTCCGCGATGCTTGGTGCTGGTCTCGTGGTTTGCATCCATTCGTTGTTTTGCTTTCCTGTGTGTGAATGGGGCCCCCTTTCTCCCTTTGTTTGTTCAACGGTGTCCCGAGCGAGGTCGTTCGAGCTCGGGGTTTCGAGAGTTTGAAATGTTTGACGTGTCAAAGTTCCTACAAGTATGTTGGCTTCAAGAGTTGCAAGGTGTTGGAGTTTGAAAGTTCGGGCACGTTGGTATGCGCAAGTTAGCCGGTAAACCAAGAAACTCGCTTTTCATGGCTACACCGTCTTGAGATTGTGACTCTGCAGTTTCGGCGTCATTTCTTTTGGAACTGTGGGTTCACGGTCAAGCATCTCTTGTTGGGGTGCCCTAGGCCGAATCGCCACTTTGTGGGTGTCGGGATTTCCGCACGACTGTCGCTCTTGGGGTTTGCGGTTTGCCATCCATTCCGAACCAGTTTTCCAGGTTTCGGGCTTCGGATGTTGTTCCTTTCGGATTTTTGTTTTGGCACCCCCTCTTGCCCTGTTGGAGTTTTCCGGCTTCGCTACCGCTTTGGGTTTGTCTCCCGTCATGTTGCTGTTAGGTTCTGGGGGCTTTGTAGCAACCGCGTAGAGACTCCTTCGGGGCGGAGACTGGTTAGGAACCCTTTGGGCTTAGAGTTTTTTCACCTTGCAAGGGGCTTTGGGCTTTGCCGGCATCCACTTCTGTCAAGGGTCTCATCTCCAAGTAGGCTTTTTGATTTCAGAGCTTGGTTTGCCTCCGACTATTTCCGCTCCTCACGGTTATGTGAAAGGAAGCAACTGCTGAAGTTACGGCTTAGCTTGATAGCGGTTTAGCAAAGGGCTAACCACAGCCTGGCTGCTTCTGGCCCTGGAGTTGAACCCACTGAGGCAGCAAGGATGCCAGCGACAAGGTTGCTGTGGCTGGCCTCAAGATCCAGGGGGAGCCGTGCGTGTGGTGCGCCGACGGGCCGGGGCCTCAAACATTTTCGCTTTTCAGATGAAGTGTCAGCACAGCAAGCATCGTTTCGAGGCCCTGCACTAGCAACTCTGCCTCTCAATGCGCCCCCTACGACTGGTTCGTGCGAGGTGAGGGTGTGGTTGAAACCTCAGACCTCGCAAGGGTTGCCTGCTGGATTTGCTTGTGCTGCGCACCACAGTCTTGAGGCCTTTACCACAAACTTGGCCACTGCCAACTTCATTGTGGCTGATTGCAAGGCATCCACAAATAAATGAGACGTGTCGTCTGGACGTCGTGCATCGTCCGATCGACCCGCACGAACAATTTCATAATACATGGTGAGGCTGCAGCCAATACTGGAAAAGCTCTCCTGTTCAATTCAGAAGCCTTACCTTCGTCGAAGGGGATGAAGACATGTGACATGTGATGGAGCCTCGAGTACGAGGGGTTTGGATGTGCTTGTCAGGCGGACTCGGATGCTGCGATGGACAATTCCAACGTTCAGTGTTTGGCCAAACATACCAGCGGATGCAACAGCATCCAGGATTTCTTTTGGGGTAGCAGAGTGGCAGTGCCGTTCCGTGAGACTTTCAAGGCTGTAGATGGTGTGCCGTGCAGGATGAGCAGACGTGCCTCAGCAGCCTGGATGGTCGACCGTACGAGTTCGTTGCCGGCTACAAGGCTTGGGCCCGGGCAGTCTACGATTGTAAATGGGGTCGAGCACGCGACAATGCGCACCTTCAGAATGTGCGGTTTTGCCTCATCCTGGGTCCGAGAGGACGGGTTTTGTGTACGCATTTGCCGCTTGCGAGGCAGCTGGACAGCCTTGTGTGTGGTGTGGTGGTGGGTTGGCCACTGAGCACCAGAGTTCGGCTTGAAACCATAGATCCTAGATTCCAGATCTACTGCTCGGATTGCTACCAGGGCATGCACCTCGCAGAACGACAACAAATGCGAGCCTTACGATTACGTCGTCAATGGTGCAGGCACGTGGGAGGTATCACTGCGTGGAACTGGTGATTTTGGCAGCCGTGAGGCCATGCCTTCCAGACATTCCATGTCTCGGACTCGGTGTTTGGAAGTGCTGGCTTCGGAGGTTTTCTCTCAGATCTGAAGTGCGATGCCCTGTAACGAAAGGCCACGGGGCTGTGGAAGATGGCAGCCTGCGAGGCGGCTCCGGATCGTCTTCTTTCTTGGGCCCGGAAGGGCCGACGTCGAGCTAAAATCGCGGATTTGGCGAGTGTACATAGGGCTCCTTAGACTATTGGTGAGTGTAGACTTTGGGTACGTATATGGGGAGACTAGTCCTACAATCCCTCACATGTCACATGAAGAAATTGTGGACGCTGAGGAAGTACAGGTAGAGGTAGAACTACCAGTACAGGTTTGATGTGGAAGTAGAAGAAGAAGAAGTGGTGGTGGTAGTGGTGGTAATAGTACTAGTAGCAGCAGCAGTAGTGGTGATAGCTGTAGTCGTAGTGCAGGAGCAGGAGCAGGAGTACTACTGTAGTAGCGGGAGGAGGTAGACATTATGAGACCAGACTGCCCCCTCATGAAGGGGTTTGAACAAGACTTCGGCGTGCGCCCGCTTTTGTTTTGCATTGTCTCTACTCCTCCCAGCAACTCTGCAGTTCGCGCACTGGGTCATATTTCCATTGCACAACACGACTCGTGCCCTGTGCAAGGGCGGTCGCGTGGTCGCGCATGCTCTTCCTAGCTCCTTCACTCACGGCACCAACCTGCAGGCTCGATGCAGTCTTTACACAGCTCGCTGTTAAAGGGAGCGACTGGCAGGTGCAATGTGGCTATGGGCCGTTGGCCGTGTGGACTCACACCAGCAGACCCTCTCAGAGATGCATCTTGAAAGAGAACTGACAGAAACACCGAAGAGTCCAATAGAGCGCATGCCTAGGGCTCACTTGGATCTTGAGCTCAGTCAGCGCTGCTTCATAGGTCGAACCTGTGGCGAGTGCCAAGTGAACGTGCCGCAAATGAAGGATCGTGCAGATGTTCCTTCACTTGTCTTTACGCGTGCTTCACATGCCGTGGCCTCTGGAAGGACAACTTTGCGACATGCCAGCACTACTGCGAGCGCCAGCCTGGTCCGGGCTTGAGCTAGAGGAGATGTAGTGGGTGCATTGGAGTGCAGTGGCGTGCAACGTGCAGGTGCTCCCAAGTGCTTGGGTGCTGCCATCGCTCATCATCCCAACTCCTGCGACGTCCAGCAACCTTTGCTCGCTTGGGCTCTGTGTTCTGTATTCCCAATGCAATATAGTGGCAACTGCAGCTGTTGACAGTACCCCTGCGGCCTGCGATTACGAGTTCAAGAAGGCCGATATTCTTCTGTTAGCTCTGTCTCGATCAAGGGCTTGTTGGATCTGTGGTTTGAGCAGGAAGAGGACGGCATTTGTAAGTGCAGTGTGGCTGGAGCCCAAGTGAAGTATTGCCTGCATGGGCTACAGAGACCAGCATCCCATCCTGACTCAGGTAAAGCCACCCCACGAGCGGGTCCAGAAACTGCGCCGTTCCTATCACTGTCGGCTATCATTCTCGGCATGCGGACTGCTATTGCTGCGTTCCCATTGCGTAACTTCTCGAGGTATGCGCAGTGTGGCGGCAAGAACTGGAAGGGTTACGTGCAATGCCAGGCTTGACCAACACACCGACACACGAAATACACAGACGCTTCGTGTCGCCAATGCGATGCCAGTACAGAGTGCGAATGCTGCAGGTTGGTGCTATCTGCAATGCTTGGACCTCAGAATGCACTGTCATGGAATGATGGGATTCGGCAGAGCTTCAGCCCGACTCCAGTGCTGTCCGAGGTTGTGAACGACTGGTACTCGCAATGCCAGCCATCCTTGAGTGCCTGCTGCCAAGCAGCTGCAAGCAAAACAAGCAGCAAGGCGCTTTTGCGTCAGGCCAAGCCAGGGGTGAAAATCAATCCATTCGGGGCCGATTCCGAGACAGTGCTTGGTGTTCGGAGCCAAGTGCGGAGGGCGTGGCCGTGGACTGGCGGGTGTGTCGCCACGCACAGGTGGACGAAGAGGAAGTGGCGGCTTCAATGGCTGCCGGAGCAGGTGCAGCCAGGATCTTGGAGATCATTGGAAGGCTTAGCGCTGTAAGAGGTCCTTGTCGCTTATCTTCTTCTGCTTCTTTTGTTGTGTTTGGGACTTTTGTCAGGACTTCGTCAGAGGGATCCGATAATGGACCATCCTTGTATGTGCACATGTAGGCGCTCGTGTCGTGTGCACAGGGGTCTGACGAGTTTGAGGAGGGGGCGGTGTTGCAGAGCTTGAGTCATCGAGAGTGCTGTACGGCAATCTGTAGTTTCAGAGTTGTTTCTGTCGGTGCTTGTTGCCAAGGCCATCGAGACGCCCAAGGCAGCTCCAACCGTGGTGGTGACGCCCAAGGCGGCTCCAAGCGTGGTGGTGTCACCGGTTGTGGCACCCGTTGTGGCGGCACCCATTGTGGCACCACCGAAGCCCAAGGCGGTACCGGTTGTGGCACCACCGACGCCCAAGGCGGCAGTGCTGACGACTCCGTCTCTGGATATGTTGGCAGCGGAAGGAGACATTGTACTCACAACTGCAGCGCTGCCAGAAGTGACGACACCCAAACCAGTGGCTTTGCCGAAGCTGACGACTCCCGAACCACCCAAGCCAGTGGCTTTGCCAGAGTTGACTACGCCCGAGCCTCCCACACCGGTCAGTGTTGCAACACCGGAGACATCTATGATCCCTGCAGTCGCTGCTGCGGAGGAAGCAAAAGCAGGCTACATCGCCGTCACTCCTGGCCCATCTGAGCCTGCTGTGCCGACAGAGGCTGCCGCCACCGTGGCTCCTGCCGCCACCGAGGCTCCTGCCGCCACTGTGGCTCCTGTGGCTGCAGTGGCTGCCACCACGGTGGCTCCTGTTGCGGCCACTTTGCCTCCTTTGTCCACGGTGGCCCCTTTGGCTCCGGTTGCCATCCGTGCCAAGGATATCCGGAGAAGTCTTGGCAAGATCAGCGCAGTGATTCTGCATGCTTGGCAGATGTGCAGGACGCCACTGACCAGTCATCAGCCATTGCTGAGACTACGGCGGTGCCCTCAGCAGCAGCCAGCTCAGTCTCGTCGCTGCGTTCAGTTAGCCATTGTCGCTCTGAGGACACCGAAGCAAGCACAACAAAGATGCCACACTCCGTTCAGGCTGGCATAAGACTTGGCTTGGGCGTCAAAAGGTTTCGCGTGCATCGGAGTCCCGCTCAGGCAGGCCTCAATGCTGCGGCATTGAAAAGAGACGACCACGGCAGCGTGGCGGAGCAGGCGGCGTTGTGTTGACCTCGCGTTTCTAAAATTTGTAGCCTAGAAGAACCCTTGCCTTGGCAGGCCGTGTCTGCCGCGGCGACTGCCGGCGCCTACGTCGCAGCCCGGGTGAGTTAGCAAAATGCGGGCGGTTAGCGGTTGAGCTCAGCTGCTTAGGAGGTGGCCAACTATGGCTCATCGCAGGAGAAGGCGCAGGAAAAGGCACTGCAGGCGCACGTGCGCGCCGCACGCGGCCACACGGCCGTGTTCGGTCACTGGATGCCGGAGTTTTCTCACACCGCAGGCAGCTGTCAGCGTGTTCGAGGATGTGGGAGGCCTTCCCGACGCCCAGGCCACCTTCCGAACTGTTGGTAGGGTGGCTTTGGGGTTCATGGGTGTGGTTATGCTGCTGTAGGCAACTGTGGAGGGCGAGAAGGCACTCAAGCCTTGGCCCAAGAACCCCACAGTGCCGGAAGCAAGCATTGCCTGGCACAACGTCGGGGGTCTTGGTGCAGAAAGCTGATGTTCGCTGATGTTGATGAGGACCGCATTGGAACAGGTCGGCGGAAAGTTTGTTCGCAGCTTATCCGCCCGACCAGCGTGCTCCCTTCGAGATTCTTTTAAGGCATGTCTAGCATTTTCCCCAAGGAAGGTCCCGATCTCCTGCAGCGTCACGGCTTTGCGGACCGCTGTGCTCGAAGGGGCACACCCAATGTACTTGCAGCAGCCTGGCCGCGTGGCCTCACAGGACTGCTGGGAGCCTTGCGGCAAGAAGGCAGGCTACTGCTCCGATTTCTGCGGAAGAGGAAACGCATGCCGGGATCTCGGAATGCATCAGCAAATGCATCAACATGGGTGGGTTCATTCTGTTTTCAGGCTGTCGGAAGACAGGCGATATCGTCGTCCCGACGGAGTGCATGAATGCCCGCAACTCAGCATGACAGGATTAGGCTCCGTCGCCCGACACATACAGGTATCTACTCTGATTGAAGCCGGCGTTGTGGGGTTGTGTGGGCGGCTCACGTTTCACAGATGGGCTACCAAGGTTTACAGCTTCTACACGCCGCACTACGAATGCATCAAGCCAACGGCGGGGAGTTTTTGGGGGATGCCTCTGCAGTTCGAGTTCCGTTGAGACATGGCCCCGGGCCAGGCCATCTACATGCCGACCCAAATCAAGGCCAAGGAAACTGCGGCCAACAGCACAGAGGTCGTCGTGGAGGGAGAGGTCGTTGTGGAGGCGGGGCCGCCGCCCCCCCCCCCCGCAAGTCTTTACGAGCAAAGGTTCCACCTTCCATAGCAGGATGCCTCGGCAGTGGCACAGCCAGACGACAACTTCACCACCGGGCAGTGGGTGTTGGCTTGCGGCCAAGATGTGATGTAATGGGTTTGAACCCGGCGGACCGAGCCTTCGCGTCAGATTGCAGCAACCATTCTGGCCCTGCTCTGCGCCGGCGTCGTCTGCCACAAGCTTAGCTGCGCTGTCAGCGTGAGCATGAGGGGTTGCCTGCAGCTTTGCCTATGAGGCTGGACTTTGTCGGAGGGCAACAAGCGATCGGTCCCACTCAAAATGACGCGCTCGGTGGAGGCTTCTTTTTTCCGGGCTCCGGGGACCGGTGCTGGCCCGGCCACGACGCAGGTCGCCTCTCCGACCTCGACTGGTGCAGACCTGGAGCTTCAGGCTTTGCCCCAGCCGCGCGTGGCAGGAGTCGCCTTGGCTGCGCGAGATCTGAGGCTCCTCTGACGGCTGGAGCAGCTCTGGGTGCCGTTGCCGCACACGTCGTCTCGGCTGCGCCAATGGTCACGCAGCAGTGCGCACGGATCCGGTTACCTTGCTTACAGTATGATCCGTGAGTGTGCCTTGCAGGTATCGCTTCCTGCCGGGGGGTACCTCACAAGGCTGTAGTGTTTGGCACTGGAGAATGAAACGACGTGTTTACGAGCTTCAGGTTACCAGGCAGCTCCGATGGATGATGGACTCGTAGCCGCAGCCCAACCAGCCGAGAGCTAACGCCGAGCTTGGCGCTGTGCAGCGGGCGCCGTATTTTGCACCTGAGATCACCACCGGCATGATCTCAACTCCAGTTCCTATGGTCAGTGGCTAAGCTTTGGGTTCTCTTTCGGGGGACTTGAGGCCATGGTGCTCTTGCTATAATTAACGCTTCAGCAATCTGAGTCTGGCCGATGACTTCCGTCATCGTGTAGAAACTCTTGTGGTGCATCTGCACAGGCTGGAGCTGTTTACTACCCCTCCACGCAAGTAGCCTATGCCCCGCTTGCAGCATCGGCTGGCACCTCAGACTGAGCGGTTCAGGCCTGACGTGCTCAACATGCCACTGCTGTTGTGCGTGAGGTCGCTACCGTCGCTACCTCGACTCCAGTGCCCATGGAACCGATGATGGCGGCCCTCCTCTGAATGAAGGAATCTGCACCTGCTCAGCGGAAGCCGTGACCCATGGCTCAGGCTGGAAGTTCAGCGGTCCAGGTGCACGAGTCTGCAAAGCCCGAAAACTTTTAGGATGGAGCCCTGAATGCAGGATCCACGAGCATGGTGAGCAGCCTGCACAGGGGCCACCAACACAATGTCCTGCCTGTGGCAACATTTACGCTATCGACAGCGTGTTCTGCCGCAAGTGCGGAATGAAGCGGCCAGAACACTGAGTCGGCTGCTCGGTTTTGCAAGCAGCCCGTGCCGTCCGCAAGAAATGTTGTCTCCATGTGCGTTGAGCGGTAGTCCACCACTTGACGAAGGTATTTCGTTTGATGACTACCTACCTGGGCATTTCCTTCTCGAAGGCTGCAGGGTCGGAGCTGGGGTTATCTTTGTGTTACATTCGCCCGGTTGTGCCGTAGCTAAACCCAAGACACGCAGCATCTCATTGGCATGTACCTTGAGTTTGCAGCGGTGTTGTCTCAGAGGTGATCAATGGCTCAAGGGCACACGGGCACGGAGCACTAAGTTGTCAGGAGTCGTTTCGGGTCTGCTATGCTATCCAGCTTCAGCAGATTGACTCAGCTTTAGGCATGCGCTTGGGTTTGGCGCTTCCCTGGGTCTTTCGGGTTTAGAGTCGCACGTCGGGTATGGGGGGGCAAATGGTGACGCGCGAGGGAGGGCTGTACTTCAGAATAAGCCGCTTTCAACACCACGCCTTGCCAAACCCCGCCCATCCCGGGTCCGATGGGCACGCTGGCATGTATCTCATGTGACCGCACCCGCCAATCCACCCCCACCCAGTACTGCGGTCGTCTTGACTTGAGACCGCTCCGAAGCGGCCTTCTCGCGACCCGCCCTCCCTTTCACGATGAGAGCAGGGTTGTTTTTGGTTTTGTGCACCCGGCCCCAGGCCCCGTACGACGATTCGGCGTTTCTGTGCAGCTTTGCCCTTCGGCGACCTGTGCTCTTGCCGATCTCTGGATTTGAGAGGTCGGCGCCCCGCGGCGCCACATAGAACAAAGCCAAAGTGCGCTAACCTGGGGGATGGTTCTGGGATGGCAGCCAAAGGTCCCCAGCCTTCAAAACCGAATCCAACTGGAGAATAGCGATCCCAGCCCTCATGGAGTGACGGAAAAACAGATCCCAAACTATGAGAGGGTGGTCAGTGAATCCCAAACGAAAAGGAGTGATGTCTAGTTGAAATCCTGTTCCTTGGGAATCTTGTAAAGAATGCAGAACATCAGAATGGGCAGGAGCCCCGAACCGCCAGAATGATAATATGCAGAGTTCTGGATGGCAACCCGGACATGAAATCCGAACAGAAGTCATTCACAGGAGAAAGTGAGTCTAAGTACTGACGAGTCCAGCTAAAGATCCCTCCCTCCCTCGCTCGCTCCCCTCCCCTCCCCTTCCTCCCCTTCTCCTTCCCTCCCCTCACCTTCAGTTTTTGCAGGCAGTTGGATGTCCAGATCTTTCTCATTCTTCGAGCCGCATGCAGCTCAGCTGTTGAGAATGCCGGAAAGGATACAAGTCATGATCTGATCATGATGAGGATGGTACTAGAGCCGTCCTTTTTTGGCAGGCCAGGTTACTTTCTCCGTGTCACTGCACTAGGTCGCAAGATGAGCATCACTATGCCACCGGAATCTAACGCATAATTGGCGACGGAGATCCTTGATGCGCATTGCTTCCGCTGCAGTGGCAGCCGCCGGAAATCATCTCATGCTGCAGCCTGAACCCCAACAGGGAAGCCTTTCGAGTAGTCAATCCAACAATAATTACATGAAGTTTGCGAGAGGTGGGGTAAGTGAAGCTTCAGTCTTAGCCGGATCTTCGCCTGCCAGCCGCTCTGATCTCTTTGGACATGGAGGCCTTCGTCGCAAGCAACCCCGCCTCTCGGGCTCCAGCGCTGCGCGGCACTGTCGACGGGCCGGGCTCGGGCTTGGCGGCCCCAACATTCCCCAGCGCACCAGGCGAATCAGGTGGGAGGGGAGCCGCACTGAGTGTGGCAGCACTCAGCGCCTTGGCATGCGCGGCTTCTCGTGCAAGCCGGCTGCGAAAGACGAAGCTGGGAGAACGAGGTGGTGATGTGATGGAGGTCATGCCGACGACAGAGATCAATTACTACAAGGGAATGAGTTTCCCAGCAGACCGCACCTTGTGTTTCAGTGCCCGGAGCTGGAGTCCATTCGCAGGGACCATGGGGTCAGCGATCCCGTTGATCGTGCTGAGGAAAGGTTGCTGGCGGTTGCGGTGCCGGAGATTCCGCCCCCTCCTCGTGCTCGCCCGTTCTCTGAGGCTCGGGATGAGGTGGTCAGGCTGCTGCAGGTTGCTCTTCGCGGCAGCCCCGCCTCCGCCAAGGATTCAGTGGCTGGGTGGTCCGTGGCCGTCGAGGCGGCTGGTGTTTCCTCTTCGCTGCTCGAGTCGGAGGATCACCTCCCTTCATTGCGGAGATCTGTGCTCTGGTCGCCCTCCTCGAGGCCCTCGCGATCCTGGCCGTGTGTGCGCCTCTTCCTGCGGTACACGTGCTTTGCGATTGCCAGGCTGCCCTGAAGGTTTGCGAGTCTTCGTACAATGGCCCTTTTCTGGTTATTTCGCGCCGGGTTCGCGCCGCCTTCGAGGCGCTGCACCGCTCCGCTCTTGCCTGCACTTGGGTGCCGGCTCACGGGCGTGTCTCCAGTGGCTGGCGGCCTCCTGAGGGAGTCTCGGAGGACCGAGCGCGGCAGCTCCACGCAGCCGCCGATGCGGAAGCGAAGCGCTGTGTGCTTCTGGCTTGGCAGGGCTCTGATCGGCGTGACTGGCATCGTCGCCTTCGTGACGCTCGTGAGCGGGAGGCGAAGTTCCTCCGTGTCGCAAATGCGGTTGCCTCGCGGTACTCTCAATGGGTTGCTGAGGCCGTCTAGTGCCTCCCTCATGCGCTGGAGCAGTTTGGGGAATCCGACAGGTTTCGCACCCTGCTGTTCCTCAACATTGTCACAATTACTACAAGCTGGACCAGATCAATATCGTGATGATCACGACCTCGATGCGGGCGGCGCTCAAGGACATGAAGGACATCGTTTCGACGGAGAAGCTGGCTGAGGAGCAGCTGCAGGATGTTCTTTGTGACGAGGATGTGCGCCACGCGCTGGTGTCCCTGTCCCGATTGCCAGTCTTTTCGCACGAGTTTGGCTCCGCGTTCAAGTATGACTTGGACTTGCTGCACTCCTTCAAGCAATTGAAGTACTTCTGGTTGCCGTCAGCCAGCTGTCGATCCTGATGGCCAACGTCTCTGGGATCGATGCAGGCCCGTCACCTCGTGTGTGCTGCAACGGCTTCGACTACAAGAACCTTTATGGCTCCTACCATCCACCGGTGCTGACGATCACAGATCGAGGCTTTTGGAAGACTCTGCATCCCGGATGGTTGCGCCATGGCGTGGCAGAGATTATCAAGATGGCAGTCATGAAAGACCTCTCGCTTTTCGAGCTTCTGGAGCGCCATGGTGTCCGTGCGGTGCAGACTAAGTTCGGGACCGAAGGCGACAGCGTCGATGACCCCGAGTTCCAGGACGCGTGCGACCTCATCGTCGGTACGGCAATGGAGGGCTATGTGCGATCTGAGTATGGCAACCTCTGGGAGACTCATCAGTGCCGACCCCATGCAAACGGCCAGACATGGTGCCCTGGCTATGAGCTGCCAGCAGGCATGCTGCATGGGCAGGCCGTCGGCACTTGCATGGGCTTCGGGGCATACCTCTCGTTCGTGGAGGGTTGGGTTTCCGACAAGGAGATGCACCGCATCTTGAAGGTGATCTCAGATTGTGAGCTCTCTTTGCACCACCCAGTGATGGACGACGACCAGATGGTCTGGAAGACTCAGCAGGCCATCGTGGAGAAGCGAGGTGGCAACCTATGCGCTCCGATTCCTAAGCCTTTGGGTTTCTCCGGCTACTTGAATGATCTCTCAGAAGAGATGCTCGCGCAGAGGATGCACGAGTATAAGGACCTGGTCTCCAAGCACCCACGTGCTGAGGGAATAGGAATGAGCATCCCTAACCACCAACCATCCCATGAGGTTTCCTTTTTTGATAGACATGGTCAACTCACTAAGGAAGGATGCGGGGCTGGCCAAGCTTGCCGCCGCGAAGCTGGACCTGTTGAAGGAGCTTCGGGACGAGGGCCTTCTGACCGATGAGCAGTTCGATCAGAAGCTGCAGCTTCACGGACCTGCTGCATGAGTACAGGCATGACATACAAACACATACAAGTAGACCCGGCTTTGTGGATATCCAGACCACATGCACGTCACCAGATCAACGCGTTGCGCAGTGACGCTGACGTGGGTGGATGGTTGAATGACAGAATGTTGGACAGATTTTCGACTCTAGAATCGCCGTTCCCAAAGAGAACAGCGACATTTTGCGTCCTAGCTTGTCGGTCAGCTGTAGAGCCTTGGAGCCTTATTCGGGGGAGACCATTTTATCCATCAAATTTTCGAGAGGCCTGCAGATTTTGGGCCTGTGCCTTCACAACGGATTCCCTCGCAGACCGCAAATACTTCCTGTTTGACCGGTCAATGTGACCGGAACATTCCGAGATTTGCTTTGGTGACTGCATCTTGGTCTGGAAAGGTTGGTCCAGTAAAGCCGGGCGCCGGGAGCAAGGGGCTCAGGACTGAGAGCGAAGCCGATCCAGCGAAGCGTCTGAGGTCAATGATGACACTGAGTTTTGCGGTTTTCAGCAAAATCGCTGAGGTCGCTAGGATGTGCCGCGCAGGAACCAGTTTTGATTTGTCAGGGCTGCCTAGCAAGTGGGCATGGCGAAATGTTGCTGAGTCATGTTTCTGCGCGGTCACGGACTATAGTTGTGCTCCATTTTTATGTAAAAAATATTCCTTTCCAAGACATACGTGACCCAGTAGACCTACAGCATGCCGGCTGTTTCGTTCAATACCACCATGCTCCACGTAGCACTCCAACCATGCCAGCTCGCATAATTATGTGGTCTTTGCGTGGGCATTGCGTCCTCCAGTGAAGATCGAGATAGGTTGATATCAACGCGAGAGCCCCGTGAAGACCCCCACATCATCTCCCAATGCGGAACGATGAGAACTGCGGAGCTACAATGCTACAATGCGCACCATGGAAATCATGCCAGTTGCAATGCCGTTTGTTGCCTCTGTGTGGGGGCTTCAGATGATGGAAGCAGATGGTGTGCATCTACCGTAGCTTTAGCACCATAGGACA